CAAGGCAGTGGGAGAGACAACACAGCCTGCCAGCAGCAACATGGAGTGAGAACCCTGAGATAAAGTGACAAGCCATGGCAAGGCTGAGAAGAAAGGGACACATGCTGAGGGCCACAGAGTAACGCAACAAGAGCACTGTATTACAGATTTCTTGAAAATGCTCTTAAGAAGTCAGTACTTGTAAATATTTCTGCTGTAAGACAGAAGTCTATCTTCCAATGACAGTGAAAATAAACTTCATGGGAGACACTCAGAAAATGTGACAAACAAAAAACCCATACACATTTCAGAGAAATACAATTACATTTGCAGCTAAAAACTTGAAGAAAGCCCAAACCGGGGGTATATTTTGAAAATGTAGACTTTGGGGGCTAATACTGGACCATTCCAGTCAATGAATGCGAACAGAATTAAATCCTAGTCCTCTGCCATTTAGCTTCTGTTTTCTTCACATGGTTTTATAAATTTGGCTGGAAAGCACATAGAATGGTCTTAATTCAACTATGTGTCAGTGGGATTTAGCAGCTTCTGAATGTTTCAGCAATGACAACAATAATAATTTTTGTGGTAGAGCTGAGGTTTACCTATCCTGTGTCCTGTCTACTGCAGCTTCAGAGGAAGATGTGAAGGTGCTTAACACTGAATTCCAAACACTAGAATAATCTGATTCTATGTTGCATTCTGACTTATGTTAGCTTCATCCCCGCAAGATTATCTCTTGAAAAATATTTACCAAGCATAAAAAACAATTCAAGATCACCTTGACATCCATATAAAAACACAATGATTTTTCACATATTTGTCAAGTTCTTGGGTATTTTTTCCACCATCACTCTGTTAACATGTTCATTTCTAATGCATTCATACTAGAACTTAAATTCTAATGTGCGTGCATATCATTTCACCTTTTATAGTAATTTTTTAATTATAAATATTTTTTCTTTCCAGTGACACCTCAATATTTATTTAAAAAAACCCAAACACAACACCTCAATTTCAGTTCAAGCATTAACACAGCTCTCATGCGCCTCTGACATTTTCCTTCATACAGTGTATCACAACAGTTACCTAGTTACTCGCGAAATGCTGAACTCAATTCCTCAACAATTTCTTATTTCAAATCAGAAGATGGCCTTAAACAACTCTTTATTTAAAACATAATAACAATAGCAGTATGATAATGGCAATAACATAGCAGTATGATAATGGTATCAGTTAGCTAAGTGAGGTAGCAAATGGTTCAAGTCAGTGAACAATTGCTGGACTGCATGCTGATATTAAATTTAAAAACCTTATTTGATGTCAGTGCGTTATCTCTGATTTTTCAGAGTTTAATTGTACTTGCTAACAGCTGCTGAGAAAGGTACTGCCTATATAAATACGTACATACACACACGTGTATGTCTGTATATGTATACATAAATAAAAAAATATAAAATGCATAGGTTTTCCATATGAAAAAAACAACTCTAAGATGTCAGCTATTCGTGTATAACCTATACCATTAACATCACTGAGAATTTATAAGGTGCCAAGGTACCTTCTGTTTGTCACAATGCAATATATAGGTATAATTTTACATGGAAACAGAACAGACACAGGCACAACTTTCCATGAAGAAAACATGAATCAGACAGATGCCCTGAACTGTGAAAAGCTTAAGTTTTTACATTGCATGGCTGCTTCTGAGGTGAAATGCCCCAAAGCAGCTGGGCAAAAACAGTATGTGAGAACTAGCATTCCCCTCTGAAGAGGCAAAAACCACCTGCAGCAGAGCCCTCCAGTGTGCCAGGTCCAGTTTGGGGAGCTCTTTCCTCTTGCCCTGGCCACCACTCTCTCACCAAATGCAAATGAGTCGCATTCCTGGCAATTCACTAGCCAGGAATAAACCAGACCATTGCACACAGGACATTTTAAAACATGTCCCACACATAAATCATTGAAAACCATTTTCTAGAAGACACAAAGTGGAAAATAGCAGGAAAACAAATCCATATTTGCGTATAGGCTTCACAAAACAATCTCATTTCTGAAAAGGAAGATTTGATCCTTTACTGCCTGGCCTGGAAGACAGGTTTCTTCTGTAGCTATTCAAATGCATCAAAGCGTAAGCTCTCTAGCATCTTCATTGATCAAAACCAACCTTCACTTAAAAGAAGACAAATATGTTAATATTTGTAAGTAAATAAAACAGGAGTCTGGGTTCAAACACTGAATCAAAAAAATTTTTTTAGATTAACAATGAATAATCATTTTCCGTAAGTTAAATTTATTTAAAAGATTTTACCTGCATTAATCAGGTCTGGATCTACTTCATTTTCAAGCGGGTAAGGACCCTGACAACAACACAGACATATGTCAGCTTTATATTAAAATACCTTTGAGATACCATTCATAACTGCTTTATTATTTCTAATGCTTATTACTAAAAACAGGTCATCACGGACATGCTTTTTTTTTTTATCTTTAGCAGAACAACATCTCTGACAATACAAGCCATAATTTACATCAACTAACATATCAGGACCAATGGTCACATTGTTAGAGGCTGTTAGAATTACTAAATAACCATGAAGTGGGGCTTTTGTTTGGTTTGGGGTTTTATTTGAGTTTTTTATTTGTTTGTTTCTAACCAAAGGGACAGACATTTTTCAGTGAAAGGTATGTTGGTGCAATTCATAAAGCCATACAACAGTGAAAATAATACTCACTTTAAGCTTTATTTAAAATTATGTTTGATAAGACTTACAAGGCTTGGTCTTGCAAACTACAGAAGGTTCTGACTGCTTCCAGAAACACATGTGCTTAAGAACATACTTGGCAAAATAGTACTATAATCCTGAAATGAGCATTTCCTTAAAAACTTTACTGCACTACAATGAGAATTTTATGATCATGCAATATGGCATATACTTGGATATGACTTTTAGTAAAATTATAATCAAGTTGGGGGTGGGCAAGGAATAAAACCCAGGCCCAGCAAGGTAAGTACACTGCTGTAAGTGACCAAGATATATTCTTACCAAACCCAGGACTCCATTTTCGCTCTGTAAGTGAACAGTTATGTCTGGACTGATGAAGTTACTGGCCAACAGTGGGATTCCAATACCCAGATTAGCTGAAGAGAACTGGTTAAGGCACAAACAGGAACACACTTACTGCTGTCATTGTACTGTGATTAGATTAGAACTGTTCTCTCCACAAACACTTTCATTTTCAGTTAGATGCCTCATATTTGTGATGAATTATTTTGTTATTTGGACTGCCTAATTGCATTCCGTCAAATGCTTTACATGAGTGTTGTGAGGCACTGGAACAGGTTGCCCAGAGAAGCTGTGGATGCCCCCTCCCTGGAAGTGTTCAAGGCCAGGTTGGATGGGGCTTTGGGCAATGTGGTCTAGTGGAGGGTGTCCCTACCCGTGGCAGGGGGGTTGGAACTAGATGATCTTTGAGGTCCCTTCCAACCCAAACCATTCTATGATAAAAACCCCACAGTGCAAGCAAGCTTAATTTCCAATGTATGTAACTTTTTCAAGAAATTCTTGCAAAACATTCAACTGCTAACAAACTCTCCAGATATGCTTGGGTAAAAACTCCAAGTACTCTGTGTCTTAACATCCCATCTATTTCAACAGGTTTTTAATAAAATGAGAGAATCCCAGGCTCTGGGAAAGACACTGAGCATGGTAATTAACCTGTCTTAAACAAAACAGCTGCAGTTGTTATTCCAGTGAGTTTTCACTTCAGCCTACAGCACAGCTGAAGGATACCATACATGCCATCCTCAAACTCTAAAGCAGCTCGTCTGATGATCCTCTCCCTCACGTTGTCTCCTTGTTTTTGTTTGGCTTTTGAGTCTTCAGGCTTTCGGATTGATAAGCGCTGTAATAGTAGTAATCATAAGTAAAGATTAGAATCCAGATTCTTGCTTCTTAAGACACAAAAGCCTGATTTATGATTGCACTGAGATACTTGGTCTAAGAATAATGTTATTTATCCATCTTCTACACAAATTGACCTTTTATTCTATCAGTTCAAGCTTATCTAAGCCAATGGAGTCATCAAATACCTCCAATGATAGCCTTAGAGTAAAATGTTATTTCTCTGTATTGCAAAGGCTGAGAGAATATGTGATACATAGACAACTGGTTAAGAAGGCATCACGCATTAGTGCAAATACTAGCAAGTCTGAGATTCACTACCCCAGAGATACCTAAATTGATTTGTAAAATGTCAGCCTAAAATACAAATACTGCTCTCTTTCTGCATTCATTCAATTCAGTGGTGCTTTCTAGATTTACATGCATGAGACAGACAAATGCCAGTCATCTAAAGATACTGAGAGCTAAGCGACTAAGTTTTCAAATATAAATCTGTAAAATCTTTCATAAATCTGCCTGAAGTTGTTTCCTGAGATTTCCTGGCCTTAAGCTGATGCTTTCTAAATCACATGTAAGTGAAAATGCCATCACATTCCAGAAGTTTGTAAGATCTTTTTTGTAAATTATTGTTTACATAGATTATGGTCTTTGTGCATCTCTCCCATGCATATAAAACTGCTCTGGGCAACATCATGTCATGCCAACATGTCTTCACATCCTCTCCTACTTCATGCCATAAGGAACACATAAGGCAAAATTATCCTCTGTTCCTTTTCATCACCACAAAAGAATTTTTGCAGTGTCTTTTTTCCCCATGCTGGGAGCCACTTTCCTCTTAGGCAGTCAGAAACAGTATCAATCCTCTTGAATTTCCTAGCAACTTTCTTTTTATGCCTTGGCTATTTTCCCTAGAATTGCTTCACTTACAAGTTAGGGAAAAAGTAAGATCACAGAGGGTTTTGCTGCAGCAAAGAGAAGGTTGGATAGAAAGTATGACTTGCACTAGAGGGACCACATCTAAGCCAAATTAAGCAGGAACTGCTATTTAAAGTAAGAGTTATGACAGACTAGCTTCTCTTTATTCTCTGTATTCCTCATCTCTCCTCTTACCACTTATCATACTCAACATTTTCATATGTACAGCTGCATCCTTCATATATAACCGTTTATGGAATAGTAAATAAATCTGCCATTTCTTTCCTCTACTTCTATTAATGAGAGGCACCACTGCCAGAATTATAAAATTACACAAACAAAATTAATCTGTTACAACTTTGCTGTGCAGTTGATAGTACCTTACCCCCATCATCACTTCCTATTTTCCTTAAGCACATAGGGGAAAGGACAGTTGACTAGGTAGGTATATTCACATATGCAGCCAAGCCAAGAAAATCAGGTGTCTGCATAAAGGTCTTCCCTGGACAAAGAGTCACCTCTTCATCCAATGCCAAACAGCAATAAGAACAGCAGTTTAATAAATGTAAAATGGATTTCTCTCAAGAAAGGTAAAAGCTTTTCTGTGAGGTATTGCACTCATTCAGAATAAGGAAACAGACTATTAATTGCAGTCTAACACAACATGCCCAGAAAAAGAAAAAAAAAGAAAAAAAAAAAAAGAAGAGGTTTGACACATCTGTTTCCAGTCAAATACTCAACAACATGCAATATACTTTTGCAGAATGAACAGATGGAAGGGAAAAAAAAAAAGCTTTTAACCTTAACATTCATAGAAGAGTTTACCCAGAGAAAAGGCCTTGTATGACTTTCTAGGACTCTGTGACATGATTTCAGTAACAAAAGTTTAATTATTACAATTCCTTTCTGCACTTCTTTTTTCAAGATGTTTTTTTCCTTGTGTCACATATCTCCCCCTCTACCAGCTCTTCTGATGGCATTTTGAATAATTCCCACCTCCAGAATAGGGAGACACAGAAGAAATACAGAATCTTCAATTGCACTTTAAGAGCATTGTCACATCACCGAAATGAATATAGGGACATAGCTCCAGTGAGGCAAAGCCACAGAAACAAAGAAGAACAATTACATAATCATTATTTTCGTGAATGTTTTCAGTGATGGAATATTATTGCTGCAATTTTTAATAGCTATTGATGTCTTTTATTCAGACCAGAAATGCCACTGACTAAAAAAGTTGCTGATTAGAGAAAAGAAAGGTTCCAAGACCTTTGCAACGTAATGTTAATTCAATACATGGCACAAAAGCGACCAAGACTAGCCCTACGTGCCCATGTCAAAAGCTCTCCAGTAGAAAAGAAAGCATCTAATTATAAAAGTCAGTTCTTAGTCCAGATGTTCCCCTTGTTATATCTACAGAAGGTGAACTGAGAGAAGGAAGGAGAATGAAGTAGCATTTCCCATCAAATTTTCAACTGTGTTAAAGCCGTCCAGAATAAAAGGCAGTTGCTCTAACTTATTCAGGGACTGAACCAGAGGGGCTGAGGTACAAGAAACAAGGCACAATTCTCAGGCCCCCACCTCACTACTACCTACCTAAGTACCTGCCAAAACTCTATTACTTAGCAAAATTTGACTGGTCTTTCCCACGCTGTTTTCTCAATGCTAAGACTTGCTGGCTAGAGTAAAAACCAATTCTAAAATACACCCCAAGCTGTATGTTGGGACCAAGAAGTTCAGCTACTTACTTCAATTCTCTTCTCAAACTTCTCTCCTTGTATCAGACGATCAACATAGATTTTGGGAACATGAATGTCTTCTGGGGCAAATGCTCCTATATCAACAATTTCTTCCACCTACACAGAGAAAAGGTAAAGTGAAAATATTTACAAAAAAGCATTCAATGAGAGATTTTATTACTAATGCAGTTTCAAATATTAAATATACAGTGGATCAAATCAAGAAAAATAAGGAATGGGACAAAATACATATATTCTTTAAAATGGGCTATTTTAGACGCTTTGCTTTCCTCTTCTTCCAAAGTATATTTCTAAATACAAATTGAAAGTAGTTTATGTTTTAACAGCCCATTTTGTACCACCACCTTGAAGAAATATACCATGTGCAGTTACATCAGAGTTGTTTGTACCTACAAATAATTTCCATCCAAACAGAAGGAAATAACATGCTGGTAAGAAAATGTCAGAATACAAAGCAAAAGTATGTATTTTAAGGATACAAACACAGAAGCTGGCTTAAAGTTTCCATACTGTACTCAAAAATAAAATTGAAAACATTTGAACTGTAATAATTGATTGCAAGAAGGATGTGAAGTTCTAGAAGTCTCTACAGTTAGTGAAACTGAGATTCAGCACAAAATGGCACTGATCCGCGCATAGTACATTTGAAATGTCACCTATTTGGAGCACCACAGACAACAAGGTTTTCCTTCCTTCTATGCCTGAGCTCAGGGTGGTCTAGCTGGAGACTCTGCTACGGCCAGATGCCTGCAGCAAAGACCCTCAGCCATGTCTGGTGCTTTCCCTTACAGAAAGCACGTCTTTCTGTGCAGAAAGCATGTCTCACTCTGCTGCAAAACAGACACTACTGCTAGGGCTGTACCTGCATCTGACCACAGAGAAAATGTATAATGTTACCACAGAGAAAGTATATACAAAGATAACTTCTGAAATGACCTACTTAAAAAGAAATTAAATAAGTTTCCAAACTGCTTTATCACCAGGAACTAGTTAAACTTTCAGGGACGTCCAAAGTCTAAGAACCCCAAAACAAGACCCAGGGTATGACATATCAGTAGGGGTACATCACTTAGCAGCCATCACCAGTGAAGCAACATTAGAGAGCTTAAAATTCAGTTTGACATCCTACTGTTACTGCACAATGTAATCAATAATAAAACCTACAGTATATCTGATAGACAATTACCTTCCCACTGTGCCTTGCAGTGTGACAATAAACAAACAAATCCACCCTAAAAGCAGCAGAGGCAGAGGAAAAATTAACAAACTAAAAGACCACAGGATCAGTTTCAGGTGATCCCTGAAAAACCACTGCAGTAGAGACAAAAGTTGTGAAGTCTGTAAGGCAAATGTGGTAAGGAAGTGGCAATAACAGCCACAGCAACACCAGCCTCAGTGTTCATGGAGAGCGGAATCACACATCCAGAAAGTCCTTATCCACAAGATAAGGAGAGACAATCAATAAAGATTCAGACTACTGTATTCACAAAAAAACAGTGCAATCGCATCCATGCCCTATCTCACTTGAAGTTTATTATTCTATACGTGAATTTTAAAATATGGAGACCAAGCCAAACATAGGGTAGAATGAAAAAATCCTGAAGCACACAGCTGAAGCACATTGCACTCTTGGTGCAGTGACTACTACCAGAACATGCTCGAAAGGAGGGAGAAGCAGGAGACTAGACTTTTCAATGAAGCCATATGCAAGCAGATGATCTGCTACCAGCAGAATTCCCAAATTCACCTTTTCTAATTAAATTTGTCTTCACTTACCAAGTGGAAAATTACATCTGGGGAATACTAATTATTACTGATTTGAACCTTCTCCTGAAAGAACTACATTTATTTGCTGCACTAGCTGAGATTATAAAACAATAATCTTTGCTGGCACAATTCAACCAGCTTCCACAGAATTACGCTGTCAGAAAACTTGACACGCTGTATCTCTAGCCCCGTAGAATAAATAATTTATCCAACAATAAATTATTAGATTTTGTTATTAATCACCTCATTCCCTTAATTGGTTAGTATTTTGTCTCTTTGGAAACAGCAGTCAGCATAATAGCTTTTCCTCTCAAGAACCATCAACGTAACATTTATTATTTCTGTGTATTATCCTAAATGAATGTAACACAAATTGTATTTTGTCCTAAGGATTTCAAATGAGCCTAAGAATCCCAGCAGACTGGAACACCTTTGTGTTCACAGGCTGTCCACCACTATTCTTACTGGTGTTTCACAATTTCTGTGTTCTACCATTAAAACTAAAAATGAAATGTAATTAAAATTAAGTACATTGAAATATCCATATAGCAATAAAATGGAATTTTGAAAAGGGATTAAAAATTTGCATGTAATAACTGCAAGAATACATATCATCCAGTTCTACAAGTGAAATTAATCAGCATGTTTATATGAAAAAGAAGGAATTCGCACAGGGGAAGTACAAATGTCATCTGATTGCTCCAACTCTCTCTCCCAACTCTGCTCACAGGGAACTAGATGATACTCCAGCTGAGACACTGTAGATGGGCTGCCAGCAGCCTCCATCAGTATTGCCAGCACTGCTACCACAGATGAAGCTTTGCCAACAAAAGTGAAACAGGGAAATCTGATGGCTACGGGAATCACCAATTTAACCTTCTGTTACCACTGCAAGACAGAACCCAATCATTTTTCTAAATAAGAATGATAATGCAAAAATAAATAGTTCCATAGCTGGGCAAATTCACTTCCCTTTCAGGTTTCATATTCCTTTATGAGACTTTTATGTAACACATCCACAGCCTAGGCCTCAATGAGACATGCAGGAGAGCATTCATATTAATAAGTAAAAGGATGTGTGTGAGTTTTCTTCCTGTTCTGCTCTTCCTATCTATCCTTCTGTTCTTTCTTCTCTCTACCTACCTTGCCTCAGGCTTTATTTTGTCATGTACCGAAGAATCACTGTAAACATCAAAAATCATTACATGGCATCCCACCCAAAAGACACAAAGTCTGGCAAAGCATAAAGAGGGAACTAATCAAGGCAGACCACCTCCTGCCCTTTTTTTTAATTAGCAAACCAAAATACTCTTGTACCATTTAGATTGCCTTGATTGTATGTGTTCATTTTCAATCTTAACTTTATCAATGTGCTAGAAGATAGAAAACGTTTTATATCTTTGCTACACAGGTAAAGCTAAAGAGTAACTTCAGGAGACCATACAGGCTGAGTTCCCTCTTCCAGGAAGGTTCTGATGCACAATTCAAAAATCCGTTCATTGTTTCAAAAGTTTCACAGTATTGGTTTTCTTCCTGGATATAAATGTTCTTGCAAATCTTGTCTGATTGCTGACAATGGGAGCAGAATGAATAAATTCAATCATTTCTGAATACTGGTTTATCTGCAAGTACACCCAGAACATAAAAGCTGTTCTCCGCTATGAATCACAAGAGCCTTCTGCCACTCCTTTTGGTATCAGCACTCATAGAATCAATGGTCATTCGTTTCACAGTATCACTTCCTTCTGTAATTTACATCTACTTTTCCCTTTTTAAAGCAGTTTGATTTATTTTTGCTTATGGAAATTCAGCTACTCTTCTACGGTTTTATCTCCGAATTTCTGAAGTCTTCCAGAGAGAGGGAAAAGGAACGTCAGAGGTTATGGACTTCCAGTAAGAAAGATAAAGAACTCCAGTTCTTGACCAAAAACTGGCAAGGAAATTACAATGACACAACTATTCATGCCAAAACACTTGAAAATAAGAAGGCTGTTCCTTTGAGTACGTACCTTTTGACCTGTTTCTGCAGCCTAATTTGGTCCTTTATGATACGTTAAATGTTTTCACCTGTTTTAGTTTTAAATCTCAGTTTTCATAAAATTAAACTGTAACCAGAAATGACAATATAATTCCTTATTACAGGGAAAAAAAAAAATGGAAAATGTGCATGGGTGGGTGGCTGAGAAAGAGACTGGGGGAGAGAGTGAGCTTAACAAAATCTATGCATTTTTAAGTAGCTTATTTTTACACTGGCTTTATTAAATATCTCTATCACTACCTTAATTATCCTAGTACACCTCAGTTCTTCAAACTGAAATAATAAAAAACCCAGCAGAACACAACTAGAATAAAACATTACAACTGGTCAAATGTCCAAAACCACAGAAGAATTAAATCAAATTTAGCCTCTTAGATTCTCAAGATGAAATCATTAGAGCACTTCAGTTCACTACTGGAAGAGTCGGATGTCACTGCAAAATTCATTGTAACATTTATAAAATAGTAAGAAGTTTAAAAAAAAAAAAACCAACACCCACAATAAGGGCTATGAGGAAAAGTTGTATGTGTCTGGTTCACTCAAGATCACAGAAATTGCAATCAACCATTCTCCACAGCTAATGACAAACAAGAAAAAAAAAATAGTCTTAATTTTAATTGTTCAGACTGAATTTCACAAAAAGCTTTGGTATTGTAAACCAGTGGAACACATTCTGAAAACAGGTCACTGGAAATTAAGAACACACCATACAAGCTTACTGGGCTACAGGAAAGGGCAAAGCAGGTTAGTATTTACTCAGTTCTGCCTGCCCGCAGGGAGATGAAAAGAAGATCTGAGTTCAGTTCTGTCCTTTTCTGACTCTTAAGATCAGCCAGACCATGAAATTTTTACTCCTGCCCAACTCCTATGGCAATGAAATGACAGTCAATAGGCATCCTGAAGAACAGACTTCTACAACAAATTCAAAAAGCAAACAACTACCAAGTAGTCTGATAAAGGCACATCTTGATCAATAATCTCCACGTTATGCTCACATCAAACTTGGAATAAATGCCTTCATAAGCATATTGAGGGGCAGGAGAATAGTAAAAATCTGTAAAGTTCAGATTTATTAGAGAACCTTTGGCTTAATGAAACACATCTGGGTTACACTGAAGGTTCATTCAGGCCAGTAACCATTTTTCTTGGCAAAGAACAGGAGCTTAAAAAGACAGCATGGTATGTCTCATCATATTCTCCCAGCTTCTAGCAACGTGCAGTTTAACAATGTCCTCAGTCAGAGGCTGGACATAGACCACCTTGCTTCCTAGCTTCTGATGGACCATGAACT